GAAGACATGGGGTCGGATCCGCAAGTCCAGGTTTTCCCCAAACTTCTGCAGTTTGGCCAGGATCTTTTTGGCAGGGCGGAAATTCTTCAGATTCTCCGGGAGTTTGGACAGCAGGTCAAAGTACCTTCAATTCCAGGAAGAGAGGGCCAGTTAGGAAGGATCCATAGATCAGGCAAGTCATTTATTTTTTAAGGGTAGTAAGAGGTGGAATGTGATTTGCATCTCATTGAAAAAAACAAATTTAGGGCATGCTTTACAGCATCTTTGATTTTTCTATCAAGCAGACAATGTGAAAAGCTAGAAGAAAAGGGAGGGATACAGATTTTGAAGCTTCTCTTGTGAGATTAATCAGGCCAGAGAGGACATGGACAGATCTGCGGGATACCTGCCAGGATGCAAGAGGCTCCCACACACAGGGAAAAGGACAATGGGGAGGTGGAAGGGGAGGAGAAAAAGGAGGAGGAGGAGGAGTGAGTGTGTGTGTGTTTTCCATGTCCCTGATAGTGAATAAGCTTGGGCCCCAGCCTTGTGTGTTTTGATCGGGTTTGAGAACATTTCTGAAAGCTACGGCAGAGTGTAAGGGTAGTTTGGTAATCTAGATCCTAACCTGGAGGTGGTTCAGGTGTGATCAGGGTTTAAGGCAGGAGACTTTTCTTTAAAAAAGAAAAAAAAAATTCCCCCTTACAATATAGATGTGCCCATTGTGGGAAAATTTAAAGAAGAAATTGATCATCCACCCAACATTCTGGGGTTCTCATACTATTTTATATATTTTGTGATATATATTTATATATTTATTCACATCTCTTGTAAGTTCCCATTCCACATATTTAAAATTATGGGCGGGTTTCTTGGTACATTTTTGGACTTTCTCATCTTATCCTTGTATCTTGATTTACTCACCCTTGTGACAATGGGGTTGATGGCAGACTCCAGTTCTATGTTGGAGGTGAGCATAGAGATTGGAGTCAGACAGGGGTTGAAATCTTAAGGTCTCCTGGTTTGTAAAGTGGGGATTAATATGTACCCTTCATGATTTTTGTGGGGAATAAAATAGATAATTTTGGAAAATTGTTTAGTATCCTATCATCACACCATGTTGCTTTTTGTTGTACTTATTATTGCTGCCAAGGATATGCCTGCTTGGTTTTATATCCTTAGAGAATCAAACTATTTGGGGAATATAGTGATAAACCTCAGAATCTGTAGACATTTTCAGGTTGGTTTGTCTAATCTGCCTCTCCCACAGGGGCTGGTGAGTTGGTCCTCATTTTCAAGTTTGAATCAAATAGAAGATAAATATGGAGAACATAGCTGGTTGGATTATCTGTGATTCATAAACTGAAGGGTTCTTGCTTGACTGTGTCTTGATATAGCCTGTTGGGGAGGCCCTATTGGTGGCCAAGGACAGTCTTGGAGTGATACCTCTCTTTGTCTTGAAAGATAATGGAATCAAATATGATTTTGTAACAGCCACCCCGTCATCCCCTTCAAGGACCATATTATCTGGCTCTCAGGATCTTTACCAGTGGTCTGCAGTTTCCTCTACATCTCCTTTTCCTATTGAGACTTGATGTCTCATTTTTGCTATATCCTTTTGAAAATTCGAGACAAGGATGAAAGAATGGAACTTCTGGAGACCTCTCTCTTCTTGGTGCCTGCATCACAGTGGTATGAAAAAGAGGGAGAATCAGATCCTCTTCTCCTTTACTCATCCTAGCTGCCTTTTGAGATCTGCCTTAAACACCTTTTCCTTCATGAAGTCCTTCTTAGCCTCTCAGCCATTGTTTAATGTACAATCTGGCTCCAAGAGGGCATAGCTCTCTCCAAGGTTCTGAAATGCTCTTTTTTTGCTAAATCCAGCCACTATTTTTTTTTTTAATCAGCCCTCACTCTCTCCCTACTTTTGATTGTACTTACACAGCTTTCTTCACTGTAAAATGGAGGATAACAATGATTCCTAGGTCTGAGAGGTGAGGCTTAAATAGTGTGTGTAAAGTGCTGAGCTTAGCGTCAGGCACACAGTAGGTGTTTAACTCATGCTGATTAAACTCATATGTTAGAAGAAAGCTTCCCCACCCCTTCATCATTTTTGGCATGTGTCCTCTTTATAGTAATAATATAACCATGTCACTCAGATGTATACAATTTTCACTGGCTTCCTATTTTACTCAGAATACACTCCTCTGAATAACTTGCAAGGCTCTGGATTAGTGAGCCTCTAGATTTCCTAGCTTCATCTCCATCCTTCCTTTCCTCTCTTCCCCAGCATTTTATGCTTTGGCTCATGAACAAAGTTCTGAGATAAAGTTTAACCTCCATAGCTGGGCTAGCAAGGCCTTTTATGATATGGCTTCTGCCTATCTCTGATTACCTTGCAAGCAACTTAGACTGCAGCCACGTCTGACTCTGGGCGGTTCCTGGCCCACAGTACCCCTTCTGGCCTCTTGGACTTTGCTGTTGCTTTTCCCTGGAACCCCCTTCCCTCCTACTTTTCCTGTGTTACCCTCTGGCTTTGAATTGAACCTTTACTACTTAACCACTGGGTGACCTTTGACAAAAGACATCTCTGAGTCTGCTTTTCTCATCTATAAAACGGGTCTAATAATAGCATCCACTGCATAGGATTGTTGTGAGGACTGAATGATAAAGAAATACAAAGCTCTTACATTCACGACTGGTCCATAGTAAGTGCCCTGGAAATACCATCTATTTTTATTAAACTAAAAATGTTTCCTCCAGGAAGACCTTTCGATTGTGTTCTCAGGCAAGACATTCTGTTTCGGTATTCCCTTAGTCCCCTGCTCACTCCCACGCTGGCTCTGACCACCCTGGGTGGTAACTGTTTATTTGCCTGTCTCCTCCACTAGACTGGGAGCTCCCAGAAGGCATGGGGCAAGTCACCCCTGAAACTGTGGCCCGGAGCAGCTAGTCTATCCATGCTGAAAGGATTAGAGGGCAAAACGTCATCAGGCAACCTTCATTGAATGGGTGAATTCACTGGGGAGATTGGTCACTGCAGTCAAGGAGTAGGCTCGGCAGGGAGGCAGTTATTGGAAAAGGAAACCTTCCAATGACCTGACGTTGCTCTTAAAATCAAGTTCCAAGTCTTAAATGTGGCGTATATGGCTGTGCACAATGCCGCTCTCACCTACCACTTCTCCCTCCTCTTCAAAACTTCCATGTCTCTTCCTGCCTTAGGACTTTGTAAATACCTTCCCTGCTACCTGGACTGTCCTTCCACCTTCTCACTGCCCCACCAGCTTCTCCTTATCTGCCGGGCTCAGCCTAAAGTCACCTCCTTAGAGAGGCCCTCCTGGATCACCCAACCTAAATTAGGTCCTCATGGCTACTCTTCTCTCAGAGCACTGTTCTCTTCCTATATAGCAATGATGGTAATTAGTTCCTATATATTTATTGATTCCGTTATTTTATTTCTGCCCATATTTTCCAGGAAACTCTAAGCTCTCTGAGGACAGGGAACAAGTCCTTCTTGTTCCCTGTTAAAACCTCAGCACCTGGCATCAGTGGGCACATAGTAGGTACCAGATGAATGTCCTTTGAATGAATGGATATACAGGTGACCTTACTTCATGAGGATTTCTATCTTGTCCTGAAGACAGAAGCTGGCTTCCTGGGCCACCCTGGAAAACTTGGCCCTCATGGCAGAACACACCCCACTCTTGCAGTGGATGATGTCACGGTTGGTGCGGCTGTAGAGACAGATAACAGGGGACTGGGGAACCGAGGCCAAGGGGACAGATCCATGAGGCAGGCCCCTGGGCCCCAGGGGATTCTCTTACCCACCTGGGTTCTCCACCCTCATCTGGAGCCCTGTTTAGCATTCCCCGGGATGTGGGAAGGACAGACCTTCCCAACCACAATAAGCGGAGGGCCCCTGCCTTATTCAGTGAGTCCTCAGTGAGATATCTGGTCACTAGAGCCCAGTAAATGTTAAGGACAGTGAGAAGAACACTGAATTTGGAGTTGGGAGATACAGGCTCAAAATCTAGCATCACCACCTCTTGGTTGTGTGGTCTTGGGCAAGACATTTCACCCAGCCAAAGCAGTTCCTCTGTAGAGAGGCCCCCACCTCAGAGGACTGGGTTTGAGGAATAAGCAAGACAATGAATACAGAATGCTTTGCCCAGTGCCTGGCACAGAGAAGGAATTCATTGCCATTGTCTGCCTTGTTGCTTGGCATCTTGGTGGTTAGCACCCCTCCCTCCCACCACCTGCCCTGGGAGTCCTTTGTCTTTATGCAGTGTCTACAGTATCTGTTCTGCACTGGGGTATTTCCACCTATCTGGGAAGATAGAGGGTGTAGTTGCTGCAGCCCCTTCTGCCCGGCTGGCTTACCTTTTAGACTTTCTCTGGACTGCCTGGGTGTGGCTGTCTCCACTTGTACTGCTGGATCTACTGCTGAAACACAAAGGGATGGTTTCAAAGATGCCTGGTGCATGTTTTCACAAAAGGGTACCTTTAGGGTACCCATGGCATCTGCTGGTACCCAGGTTTCAGGTAAGGAAGGTGGTTCTAATCAAGGGACCAGTCATAGAACTCTGCATTTTTTTCCCCACCTCTTGGCATTTGCTTCTGTTATACTCCCTGGAGGGTCCTCCTTGTTTCTTCTCCACCTACTCAAGTCCTACCTTGTTTCGTGGTCTACAGTTAGTTATGCCGGCTCCACCTCTGCTAGTCCAACTTTGACCATCTGCATCTGCATAGTGTCACGAGGACATATTTTCTGGACCCGTTTCATTTGTACAAAACTGGTCTTTCCATCGGGGGATAAGTTCATTTTGGGCCCTTTCATCCTCCTCTGTAAACCCATCAGCATATAGTCAGGGGAAGAATGCAGGTTTGGTGAAGGGATGATGGAGTCCTTCTGGTCCTTCATGTTGTCTTTGGTTTTCCTGACTCCAGGCTGACCATTCATTCAAGGATTCTTCTCTCCAAACTGGACCCTTGAGCTGAACACCCATTTCACTTTACTTTGGAGACAGACAGAGCCCAGCTCTGGCACCACCACCTCCCAGTCTGTGGACAGGCACCTCTGCTCTGAATTGCCATTTTCATTTGTGATCAGCTCCTCATATCCTCATAGGTACGGTCTGATTGAATTTCCTGGGCAGTTGCCTACTCCAGTGACTTTGGCCAGAAGTCCTAGGGAGGTAAAACTCCTTTGCTCATGCCCATCGCTCCCCATGCCTTCTTACAGGTCTTTCTTTAGTGACCTGGGACTTCAGTGCCAATGTCTACCACCTTCTCTCTCTTACCACTGTCTCTGTTTCTACCAAAGGCTTGGAAGACTGATTTGACCACTTTATCCATTTAGTTCCAGAGGGTAAGACTGCTTTTTTTTTTTATCCCTAAGGCTAACCCTTCCCTTCTGGCCTGTGGCATCTGGGACTTCTTTATAGATAGGCTGGCCATTTCACAGACCCCTCTCCATAGGGAAGGAAGGTTCTGGCCTTTGCTGCTTTTCTGAGAGTCTCAAGGGACTGGACCTAGAGGTATTACGATAATGGAACAAGCCTTTATTCCACCTAGAGGAATGCAGGGCCTCAGATAATATCCAGAAGGCCTTGTGCTTGATTCCAACCAGCTGCCCCAACCCCTACAGATAGCTCTCTTCTTTTCTAGAGCTGACAGTGTGACTCAGGGAAGAGGTGGGAGGTGAGGAAAGTAATGTCATTAGCTGTGATAAACAAACAAATAACAATAAATAACAAAAGGTGCTTTGCCTGTCTCCTCTTCCTTTGGCCCTCCTTGAATTTCAACCATACTGGTCTTTGCTCAGTACGTCTAAGCTTCGTGAAGTTTCAGGCCCTTTGCACATGCTATTCCCCTTCTTTGTAATACTATTCCAGTCTTTCCTCACCGTTGGCTAGCTAGTCTCTTTTTTTTCTCTGGGTCTCAGCTGATATGTCTCGGGCTTGGGTAGGACCCTGGTGCTCAACATTCATCCAATCCTCCATACTTCTCCTTCAGAACACTTTCCACAGTCATGATTATACATTAACTTTGTGGGATTATTTGATAAATGTATGACTTTCCCATTAGACCAGCAATTCTTTACCATTGGCAGAATTTAAGGAGTCCATGAATACAGATGGAAAAAAGGTTACATCTTTATTTAACTAGCTTTTAGCAGAAATGGAAACCACAGGTATTTGCACATCACATTACAATTGTGGGAGATATTTTGAAAAATGATTTATACTCAACACTAATCCAAAATTATAGTAGTTAGTAGACCTGCTGCTAAGTCTTGTTATATAACTCATTGCTAAAGAAGCTCATAAATTGCTGTTTCCCAAATTTAGTTGCAATATCATAATCTATATTACTTTAGATTTCTCTGTAAACCTTTGTAATTTACAATATGCATTTAAAGGCATTTTCCCTGAAAGAAGTCCATAGGCTTCCTCAGACTGTCAAAGGGTCCATGGCACAAAAAAAAGTTATGACCCTAGTCCAGATAGTGGGATCCATGAGGGCAGACTGCATTTTCTTGTTTGCTGCTGAATCCCCAAAAACCTAGCACAGTTCCTGGCCCATGGGAGGAATCAATGAATACTCTTGAGATGAATAAAGGAAATGGAAAATGGATGAAGGCCTCCTCTCCCCTGTTACATATCACCCAAGTCAAGAGAGGAGACCTAGTCCCACAAAACATCTGCCCTATATCAGCCTTCCACCACTGGACGATTTTAACTTTATGGTATACAATTGTTGGGAAGAAGTACATGGATACTCACCCCCTAGCCCTTGGGAGTTAAGGAGCTTATTTCCAGTGAAGAAGAATAAAAAAACCCCTCCCTGTCCTACTGTCCATGGTAAGGAGCATCTCTGCAATGGCTTCTGGAACTGTGGATGTGTCCCCAGACCCACCGGCCCCAGGCCTACCTACCTTGATTTGTGGGTGGTCTGGATGTCTTTATGGGCAGTATCGCTCTTGTTTTGTCTGAGTATTGACAAGATACTGCAAAGCAAGATGAATCTTTTAATAAGGCTCAGAACATACGGTGCTCCTAAGGCAGTAAGTATCTGTGGGAGGATGGAGAATTCTCTGTCTACAGCAGGCATCCTTAGATTCTACCAGGTATAGAAATCACTCAAAGATTGCTAAGAATACAGATTCCTAGGCCATACATTGCAGAGATTTGAATACATTAGGCTGGATGGGGCCCCAGAAGCTGCATTTAAAACCACACACAAACACACACACATGCATGCATTTCTGAAGCAGGTGTGCAGAGAGCACATTTTGATTAGCATAACGTGAAGTAATGCCCACTTGAAGTGTTTATTAAAAAATACAGTTTCCTCTGGAGATTCTGATTCAGCAGGTGTGGGGTGAAGACTAGAAATGTGTATTTTTCACCAGCACCCCAGCTGATTCTGATATATGGGGACATTTGGAAAACACTGCTAGAGGATTTTAAGAAAAGGCCACTTGCCTAGATGATGCTATGGTCTGAATATTTGCGTCCTCCTCAAATTCATATATTGAAATCCAGTCTCCAAGGTGAGGGTATTAGGAGGTGGGGCCTTTGGAAGGTGATTAGGTCATGAGGTCAGAACCCTCATGATTGGGGTTAATACCTTTATAAGAGACCCCAGAGAGCTCCCTTCCCCCATGTGAGGTTACAGCAAGAAGATGACTCTCTATGCAGAAGAGGGACCTCCCTGGACACAGAATCTGCTGGCACCTTGATCTTGGACTTCCCAGACTCTGGAACTGTGGGAAATAAATATCTAGTTTATAAGCTCCCCTGTTTATGGTATTTTTCCTTTAGCAGCCTGAATGGCCTAAGATAGTTAGAAGGTGGTCTGGCCTTGAAGCAGGGGGCTGGGTGGGTTGGCTTTTAGGGGTTGTGAAAAACCCCAGAACTCTATGTCAGTATTGATTGGGAGAAGATTTGGTGTCTGAAGTGAAAAAGGAATCCAGATTCTAAAGTAAGGAGGGTAAAAGAAAAGTCTGCCGCTTCTCCTGTCTCTCTGCAGCTCTACAAAGAAGCCTTCAATATCTGCTGCCTTCGTGAGAGATTAGGGAGATTTTTCCCCCAGAGGAATTGACGAGGATGAGAAATTTCAACAGGTTCTTGCTTTGTAACCATGGTTATTTTATCATTAAGGTGAATGCAGGGGCCACGTGATGAGTTTTATGAGAAGTAGATTCTCCCATGATTTTGTCCTTGAGGACCTTATACAAGTCACTCATTGCCATTCTTCTCCACCTAGTAATAGTAACAGGTAATGGTTAATAAACCTGTCTCTGCACCGTGCTGCAAAGATTCCATGGGACACCATGGGTGAAATAAAAGTACCAACCATCATCACTACCACCACCCACTGCCATTTATTGAGTGTTTACAATATGCCAGGCACATGCTAATATGCTAAATGCATTATCTCACTAAATGCTTAAAATGACATTATTTCCAGAACAACAGTAATGCTTTATAAGGATGATGCAAGTTAATTCTCACTACAACCTGTTGGGATGGATTGTTAGTCAGCCTCATTGTATGCAATTGGAATCGGGCTCAGAGAAGTGAAGCAACTTGCTCAATATCACACAGCAATTAAATGATGGGAATGGAGCTTGACCATGGTCTATTTGGTTCGAAGGCCAGTGCTTGGATGCTACACAATCTCATTTTGTAGCTGAGAAAACTGAAGTTTAGAGAAAGATTAAGTAACTTGTTCACAGGCACTAGGTTTTGAACCCACGTCAGTCTGATTCAAGTGCCAGTGTCCATGCCGTGAGTTCTTGAAAGGAAGAGCCTCATGGAGCTGACGCTTCACCTATTATCATCTGTCTCTAAGGCTATAAATCAGGAGCAGGAGCCAGGGCTTAAGGGCCAACATTGCCTACAAGTGCCTCCAAGTGCTGCCCTCCTGAGTCCTGGGCCCAGATGGGAGTGGAGGCAGCCACAGACAAATTCGTCATTAGCAAGCAGCGGTGGGGTGTGATGCATGTGAAAGTGGTGAACTGTGATTATGGTAATAACAATAACCAATAAGTCATAGCCGACATCCCAGCCAGCTGAGGGCAATGATGAACCTCTTCTAGTGCCTCATTTATTTTCAGGAAGTAATTTGCTTACTCAAAGGGATCCATACTTGGGAAGGAAACAGCTCTAGCCTTCATGGTCTCTGGGGCTTTGAGAGGTCAGAGGTCCTGTGGACAAGCTTTCTCTGACAGGAGGAGGATGCTTCAGGTTCAAGTTTGACACTGTGAGCTGGTCACATGGGTCACTGGATTGCAACTGCAAAGGATCCTTGTTGCTCTTAGGACAGAACCAGGACTCTTGAGGCGGCCTCCAGGAACCCCAGACACACCTTTGCTTCTCTCCATCCCATTTTGCTGCGGCTCAGTTCATAGGAGGTGCATGGTCCTTTTTGACCACATTTGCATATGTGCTCCCCCACCCGCTGCCTCTATCCCCACCCATTGTAACTTCGGCTGGTTAGCCTTTTTCATGTTTCATCCAAAATCTTGGTTTAAAGTTTTTCCTTGGAGGGAACTCCTTTGATCTCCATCCCCATCCCAGACTAGATCAGATACTTCTATTATTTACTCTTACAGGTTTGAGCTTCCCACAACAATTAGGACATAGTCCATACATATTCATAATACTCAGTAAAATAAGAATGAGCAGCCTTAAGATTCCTGGAAAGCAGTGTGGCAGAGTGGTTAAGAGAATCATTTTGGTATTAGGAAGCTCTGGATTTGAGTCATGGCTTTACCATTCATTAGCTGGGTCACCTTGAATAAGTAACTTAGCATCTCTGATCCTCATTGCCTTAGTTGTAAGATAAAGGCAATAGAGTCTACCTTATAGGGTTGATATATGTGCCCAGGGAGGTAGTGCACATGAACAAAATACACCCATTAGTGAGAAAATGCTCAATGATTGGGAACTGCTATTGTTAATGTTACTGCTGTGATTCTGATATCCTTTATTTGCCCCAGAAAACAAGAACATACCTGGGTGCTGTTTTTTCCATCCCATTTTCCATTGTGATTGTCCTCCGGGCATCTTCCCGAACCATCTCCAGGAGCTTCTGCAGGTCTGATGGGAACATGAGAGGTCACTGTCCAGAGCACGCTGTCGAGATAGGATCTTATAGGGCAGGGCCCAGCCCCCAGGCTGATATTGCTCCAGCTTCTGAGTGTTGGGGAGCTGAGGGGGATTAGGTCAGAGTCACGGTGTCGGGCAGGTTGTAAATCTGACCATGTTACTGCTCGGCATAAAACCAATGACTCCCGTATGCGTTCTGGACAACATCCGAATTCCTCCGGCTGCCCCCGAGGCCTGGCAGGATCGGGCTGCCCTTTTCCTTTCCTGGCTCATCTCCCTTCCCCGCCCCCACCTTAAACTCTGCTGTTGCCAGAGGGAATGTGTCCAATTCTGAGGAGAAACTGTCTTGTTCAGAAAACCCTCTCTGATGCCATAGGCCTGAAGTTCCAATCTGGTGATCCACAGACTGAATCCATGTGGTAGCCCTAGAAAACTAATACACTGACTCTTAAAAGTTGGAGAATAAAATATATTTGGAGTAAGCTATGTGCTTCAAGAAAAGTGGGAGAGTGGAAGTCCTAAGTGTTTTATGTGGATACAAATTTGCAAGTACCTGTCCCTGTGCTTGTCATATAGGAATTTCAGTCAATATTCGCTAGGTAAATAAGTGAAAAACTAAGGAGAAAAAAGAGGGAAGGGTTTGGGAGACTATGAGCTAGATTTGGGATTTAGGAATGAAGGAGGACAATGTTGGTGGAGACCCTTTATACCCTTTAGTGGGTGCCTGTAGTTGGATCAAGCTCAGGTCACCTGGAGGGGTGAAGCCCAGTGCTTCCCAAGGCCACCTGTTCCCAGACTTGTTTATAAGAGTGGTCCTTGGGTGCTAGCAAAAGGGCATTGCTCTTAATGACTTTGGAGCCATCTAGGCTGGGATAAACATCAACATTTAGCCATTTTCCACTCAACCTTCCTTATTCTCAAGTAGTTGCTCTTCCTAGTAATTTGTGGGCATGATGGCATTTGATCTGAACTTCACCTTCCTTTTTGTCTTGTCCTGCCCACCTGCCATACTGCCACACAGTGTGGGTGTGTCCAGAAGCTTATTAGTGGGTGGTTCCTCCACTTTCTTCCCTTCTGGGAACCAAACAGCAACATCTGCTCCCTCCCCTTGCTTGCCCCCACCCACAAGCAAACCAGCCAAGGGGTGGGTGGGTATCCGCAAGTGACCCTAGAGGCCTGGCACATTGGGCAGCTCTCCTAGAGAACTGTGTATAAGGCTCCACACTTCATTTAATGCACCAAAGGTTTTTTTCTGCTTGTTAGTAATGCCTCTGGACAGAAGTGATGCCCACCAGCATCCAGCTCCATGCTGAGATTGGGATGTGTGAACAATGCCTTGGGACTGTGAGGCCCACATCTACTCCTCAAGGCTACATGGGAGAAGAGACCTGTTTGGAAAAGGTGCAGATACCATAGAGTAAAGTGTCCTCGAGGGAGGCAGTCTGTGGCAGATGCCCCCACTCATAGGAAGCTGCTCAGTCCTCAGTTCCCAGGGCTATGGTGATGTCTGGACCCACTGCTCAGAGACAACAGCATCACGTGCTTTCAAACGCCAAATCCTACTCCCAAGGAAAAAAATTCTGGCTTCCTCCGTCTTTCATTCCCAGCCTAAGAATCTCACTTTGAGCTACTAAACCCATTTCTTCCTCTCTTTAGAGGAAAATAGAGGAGATCTCTTGTTGGGTGGGGTTGGTTTGAAGTGGGAACATTAGAGAGCATAGGGCCCATCTGTTTGAGTTGCTATTTAAGCGAGTTTCTCCTCTAACAGTTCTATGACTGGGAACTTCAAGACTGGCAGAAGAATGGCCTGGGCTTTGGTGTCCATCGTCCTGCCATTGATTAGGGGATGGGATCGACCCATGGAGAGGCCACAACCTGCTGTCCCCAGTGATTTGCATCAGCAAAGACTTCATTATGCAGCCAGCCCTGGAAATTAGACCTTGGTCAAACGGTGTGTCTCTCAGAATAGGATTCATGAATTCAGAATAAATTTGAGCAGTTTTTAGCAGGCAATGAAAGTCAGGGAAGTTAATCTACTCTTGTCAAGGCTGTGACAAATGGGATGAGGGTTCATGTATAAATAGAGGAAAAGGGTGAGGGGTGGGGAAGTAGAAGGACTTTCTCTTGTGATGTAGGTCAGAAATCCATCTCCTGGTCATTGTTGTGTTCCTACTGTGTGCCAGGCTGAAGGTGAATAAGACATTATTTATTATTCTATGCCTGCAGGGAGCTCACATTCCTTTCCACTTTCATTGTTAGTAATGGAGGGGTGTGTGTGTGTTTACATACCTGTGTGTGTGTGAGGAGAAGCACTTACTAGCCCAATTTCCCAACACAAATTGCAGCTAGTCGTGGCCCTGTGAGGAAATTATGGGCCATGAGGTTTTAGTAGGAAGGTTTTACGAAGTTTCTGAAAAGACTACTTGAACTCAGCGGGGAATGAGCACTTTTCGACTGCACCAGCTTCCTTCTGCTTCTAGCCTAGAATGCGGCTGCGATGACTGTTGTTCCAGCAGCCATTTTGGGTCATGAAAAGGTGTTGAGCATAGTAGAGAAAAAAGACAGAAGGCAGCAGAATCTTTGATGAACTTTTGGAGCCACCCTACCAGCTGTGGACTGGTCTTCTTTAATCTATAAGAAAAAGAAACTTTTATCTTTTTTAAGACACTATTTTTCAGATCTTTGAACCCAGGCAAAAGAAGTTCCTACCTGATACAGTGGGCATTTGTAAATTAAATACTTAATCCAAGCAAATACAAAGTACTAAGATTTGAGATGACAGAGCCCAGGAGAGTCAGGGAAGACTTCACAGAGGAGGGAACATATGAACTGGGTCTTGAAGGTTGAACAAGAGTTCATCACACTGGTAAATGTGTTTTCCTGAGTTCTGTGAACTGGTCTAGCAAATTAATCGAGCCTAAGGGGGAGGTACTTGGAACCTTCAGTCTGTAGCCAGTAGGTCAGAAGCACCAGTTAACTGCCTGGGGGGCTTGCGACCAGTGCCTGGAGTTGGGGGTGGAGGGCAGTCTTGTAGGACGGAGCCCTTAACATGGGGAATCTGGTGCTGTCTCCAGGCAGAAAGCACCAGAATTGAGTTGAGTTCTCAGACACCCTGCTGGTGTCCGGGAATTGCTTGGTGTTATGTCTGGGAAGACCCCCCTCCCACATACTTAACACACATTGGAATTGGGTCCAGATATCAAACGGAGTTGTCTACTATTGCTGCAGTGTATACTATTGTTATTGTTATACATATATGTAGGAAAAAAAGAATTCACCCTCACAGTGTTTCACTTACTCTCTGTGCTCCAATTTTCTCACTGGCAAAATAGGCATAAAAAGTTGTTGTGAGGATTAAATGAATTAATATATATATATATAAAGACAAATATATATACATATAAATATATATATGAAGCTAGAATAATGCATGACAAATAAATATATATATAAACAAATATATATTCATATAAATATGTATATATGAAGCTAGAATAATGCCTGACACATAAAGTCTT